CCTATGCATTAGCCGCTTTACTGAATACCTAGCAGACCGCCTATGCAGTAGCCGCTTTACTGAATACTTATAGCAGACCGCCTATGCATTAGCCGTTTTACAGAAAACCTAGCAGACCGCCTATGCACTAGCCGCTTTAAACAGTTTTAAACAGTTTTGCAGGTACGTTTTCACACCTGCCACTGCCGGTCCTCGTTGGCCACAGCAGCAGTGGCAGGTCTGTGGCCCCCTGCTTCTTTTGGTCCTAGTAGTAAGGTCAGAAACTATTAGGAGCACCCAGCCTTCTAGTGGAACCGACGGTAAAAATTACCAGGTAAAACCTTAGAAAAAGGTGTTGACACACACACACAGCGACTCCTGCAGCTAATCCAAAGGCGGTCTTAATTGCACCTTTCAAGGTCACTGCAGCAGTGGCCGTTGCAGCTGTGGTGGGCCCCAGACCTTGTTTCCTCCCGGCGCTGGAGAGCATGTACACCTTTCAAGGTCACTGCAGCAGTGGCCGTTGCGGCTGTGGTGGGCCCCAGACCTTGTTTCCTCCCGGCGCTGGAGAGCATGTACACCTTTCAACCCTGAGCCTCGAATATTGATTACAATCAATATTCTCAAAACCCTTTTAATTTAGCTTCAAAATCAATATTGGAGAATTGATTTTTTTGATTTTGAAATCAATTGTAAAAACTAGGAAGAAAAATCAAAATAATCAATATACCAAAACACACTAGAAAAATCAAAAAATCAATATTATCAAACAAATCAAACAGGTCCCAGCCCCTCTACACCCTGCCCAGGCCCTGCTGGCACTCTCCTTTTTCTCCATATCATTTCTATACTTCATCTAGCTCTTTGGCCAGGTTCATCTGCCAGAACGCATGTCCCTTTTTCAAGGTTCATGCATGAATTAAGATGCACTTCTTTTTCAAGGTTCCTCTTTTTCAAGAGCCTTTGGACTGACTTTTTCAAGCTTTCACAGGCTTGCTTTTTCAAGCTTGCTCCAGGCCAGAGGCTTATAATTGCACTTTTCAAAAACCTCAACCCAAACCTTTTTCAAGGTATATATATATATCCTTTTTCAAGGATGGTTGAGCCTGTCAAGGTTGCAGGAGGCCTTTCTCAAGGGTCAATCTGCCTCGATGCCAACTCCATCCCTTCTCTTGTGAGAAGAAAATGAAGTAGGATGCGGTATTTTGGTGCAACCTTGACACTAAACCTTGTAGAAGATACACCAGGGCTCACACTGGATGTGAGCAAGGATATCTTGCCCACAAAATCCTCACTGGAGAAAGTCCAGTGGGTTTTGGGGTTGAGGTATTTTGAGTTTGCAACCAAGTGCTGAAATGTATGGCATTTCATCACTATGTTGAAAAGCTTTCTCCCCTTTTCAGGGGCCCAAGCAGACAGAAGGGCATAGTAGTCACTGAACCCTTTTTCAAGGGACATGGCTTTATGCCATTCAGCTTCTGTCAAGAAAGCATCTGCCTCATCAAAGAGCTTGATGAGTTTTGACATGCACTGCATGGCCTGGAGCATGGCCTTCTCTTCTGCAACCCCTTCATCCAACAATGCCTTGCATACTGGCAGAAAGGCATGCAGGATGTGCTTGGTTTCTGCAGCTTTCAGGTCCAGGTGGGCAAAGCTTGCGTGGGGTTGCTTGGGGTCACAAATCATGCTCAACCTGAGGTTGGTGACCCTGGTCGGTGAAGATTGCCTCACATATTCTCTTTGGATGGCTTCAAACATGGCTCCCAATCTCTTTTCTGGCGCCACTGCTTGAACCTTACCAGGGCCATCATGCCAACACAGGTAGTGCATGATGCTGCCTAGGAAATGTCCTAGGACACCTTTGCAAAATAGTATGTGGAGACAATCACCCCTGACCATTTTGGTTGTCAGCCCTCCAATCACTCCAGAAAAGAGGGGGTGACTGCTCCTGGGGTGCAGCCTGGCTTCCTCATTGGACACCAAAGTGAAGCCTTGTTTCCCTTTTTCAAGGGTTTTGTACCAAAGCTTCACTGGTTTTGGCTCCTTTTGGGCATCACACTCCCAACAGGGGTAGTGTGATGCCCAATGAGGAAGAAGCAATGCATTGGAGAAAAATTCATGATCTCCTTGAATGCACCAGAGCACCCCTTTCAGTCCATTGCACAGGGGCTTACCTTTTTCAAGGTAGAAGGGAGAATCCTTTTTCAAGGGGTTGCCTGCAGGGTCATGAGTTGGGTGCAACCCTTTTTCAAGGGCTGCAAAGCTCCAGCAGATCCATTTCATCATGGTGTCCCAGGTGCTTGCTTCTGTACAGCTTTTGGGATAGCCACCAATCATGAAATGGGAGCTGAGTGAATTCAGCTGCTGGAGCAGGGACCCCCATGAATAGACCATGAGTGAATCCCTGCTCTGATATTCCACCCCATCCCCATGCAAGAACAAGGGGATTGTCTTCTTCTTCCACCCCTTCACTTTCCCTGCAGGCGATCATCTCCAGTCTTCTCTGCTTGATCCCAGAATTGCTCCAAGAGCTCCAGAGGGAAGATGGTCTCAAACTTGCTGTAGGTAGCCAGCTTGGCAAACATGAGATGAGGCAAATATATTGCAGCAACCTCAGAATCCTTTTTCAAGGTTTTGGGGTTCTTGCAAGGCACTTCAAGATGAAAGGGGTCTGGCAAGTCAATCCCTTTGCAAAAGCTTGCCATCAAATCCCTGTGGATGTTGCCAGGGTGCACTCCATGGGATACACATTTGGCCAGCAGCACAAGCTCATCATGTTGTGCCCCATCTTGAAGTGCGCATTCTGCCAGCCATCTTCCTGACACTTTGCCATGGGCCCACAAGCTCAAAAGAGCTGTGGCCAACTGGCTCTTTGTACCTTTTTCAAGGTTGCCAGGGGGCTTTTCCATTTCTTTTTCAAGCTGCCAGCCCCTCAGCCTTTTGACCATCTTGGCAGAGAAGGTATCCTTTTTCAAGGATACCTATGCAGGATGCCTTTTTCAATGGCAGTGACCTATTTCTAGGTATGGTGGGAAACCTTTTTCAAGGGAAGCAATTAAGTTCTACAGGCACCACCCCTCAACCCTACCTACTTGATCCAAAATGGCTGCAGTTGGGAAATGGCTGCAGGTGAGGTGAGTAAGAACCCTGGCACATGCACTGCCAACCTTTTTCTCACACATTGCTAGAGCTTCAGCCTGTTGCTGTCCAAAACTATGTACATATACCTTTTTCAAGGCATGCACTTTGTACATAGCTCAGCTTTTTCAAGCTGATCTATTTGCTGGCCTTGCTCAAGGCCTTCATGCTGAGCTGCACCAACTCTTTGGCTTCATCCTTGGCATTCTTCATGCAGGCCACTGCATCCAGCAAGTGCTTTTTCAAGCCAGCTAGGGTGTTTTTCCTCCTTTCTCAAGGATTTTCTTGGTGGCCTGCACCATATCTTCCAAGGACTTGAGCATTGCCTGCTTGTCTTTCAGGCTCTGCTTGCTCAAGTATGGGCTCTTCTCAACCTTTTTCAAGGCTTCCTCAAAGTTGCTCACAGTGTTGAGCAACAGTGCTTTGGTTTTCCTGACCTTTTTCAAGGCTTCTTCCTGGGTGAGATCTTCCAGGGGGTCTTCTTCTTCACCCTTGTTAGGGATTGGCTTGGGCTTTTTGCCTTTTCCTTTGCCTTTCTCAAGGCCTTTCCCTTTGCCCTTGCCTTTCTCAAGGCCAGCATTGCCTTTCTCAAGGCCTGTCAGCATCAGGGTTTGCAAGTCTGTTTCCAGAGCTTGCTCCCACCCCTCCATCTCCTCATCCACCACCTCATACTCTTGCCCATACTGCCAGTGGCTGGTGCTTTGGCCTGCGGTGGTCTTCTCATAGTCCTTTGTCATTGACCCCCCAGGTATCTACACTCCCTCCACAGGACTCGACCGCTGTCCAAGTGAAGCTTGAGCTCATGCTCACTCCACTTTTCATAGGCTTCTTTCTCAGACATCCATTTCTCTCTCTTTTTCAAGGAGTTTGTCTTGGATGCTGACTTGGAAACACTGCCAAACACAGGCTTGTGCTTCTGCATTAGGAAAAGGGCAGTGGCTTTGCCCTTTTCATTTTTGCTCAGCTGCTCAAAATCCTTTTTCAAGGACTCATTGCCATCCTTTCTCAAGGAAGCCATGTGCTGGTTCCAAGCATTGCTTTTCTCTGCCTTGGTCATGGTTTCAACCAGGGCAAGAGCACCAGCTTCCTCATCACTGTGCTCTTCAGCAATGGCTTGGACCTTCTCCTTGAGGGACATCTCCCCCAACTTTTTCAAGTTGTTGGTGTTTACCTTTCCTTTGGCTGCCTTTTTCAAGGCAGGCTTTTGGGTAGGTACCTTTTTCAAGGCACTCACCTTTTTCAAGGTGTTCTTCAAAATTCCTGCTGGCCTCTTCATTTTCACTC